TGGCCCCTGGCTAATCACTCGACAACTTGGACCGAAACTTCTAGGTAGGGGGCTGGGATGTCCAGGTGACTGACAGAGAGCCAGGGTGGGGGTTTTGGAGATCTTATCCCAGGAAAGGGATAACACAAGTAGAGGGAAGAGGAGGGGGGGGGGGTACAGTCTGGGATAAACCATTTGGGAAAAACATGGGGATACAAAACCAACTACTTCAAAGTATTACAAAATATAAGAACGCACTACAACATGACTCCAACATTTATAGTTTTCCAAAAGTGACAGTGGATTGGAGGGTGACAGTGGCACCTCTCCAATGCCACTGGTTAAACCAACAGTCCATCAACTCTCTCCTCCTCCATAAAGGAATGCAAAACAATGAGTTATTTACAGAAAGTGTGTGAGAAAATTCACTACAAGAATGTCAATATCAGAAGGCTTAGAAAATCTTAAAAACCCAGGGTGACATCTCACCCTTTTTCCATTTAAAAAGAAAAAGAAAAGAAAATGAACAATGTAAAAAGGAAAACATGAACAATGCTCAGTGTCCACTTGCGGACGAATCATCAGAGCGATCACTCCCGTCATCTGCATCTGAGTCATCACTCAATAATCTGCCCGCTTGATCCCTTTCAGGTTGGTCACGGTCTCCGTCTTGCTCATCGGCTGGATTCTGCCTCTGCGGTCACAGGTCAGGGCGAACACATTTCGAAGGTACCCAGCGTACCCCAGTATCTGTGGATACACAAGCATACCCGCGCCCCGAAGCGATAAGGTCGTAGGGACCTTCCCACTGTTTGGTGACTAAATTCCGCACCCGAACCTTCGCTCGAGGCTGATGTGCCTCGTCCGCAGCCTGCAACGAGAGATGGTGATTCAAAATGACAGGATTATTTGAGTTCTGTGGCACAGTGAGATGATTGATTGTGTACAAAGCTTTTGCCAACCGACTGTGCGGGGTTTCACCCTGCATTCCCCGTTTTTGTTTTTGAAGAACCCGCTTCAGAGTACCATGAGCGCGTTCTACAATAGCTTGACCAGTCGGGGAATGAGGGATCCCGAACTTGTGCGAAACACCCCACAACTGCAGGAACTGCCGCACCTTTTGCGATGCGTAAGCAGGACCATTGTCGGTTTTCACCGCAGAAGGTATGCCCAAAACGGCAAAGGCCTGCCTCCAGTGGGCAAGGACATCGCGGGCCTTCTCTCCAGTGTGAGCCGAAGCCCACATCGCAGAGGAGAACGTGTCCACAGTGACATGCACATACTTGAGCTGGCCAAACTCGGCAACCAGGGTGACATCGGTCTGCCAAAGCTCCAAGGCCCTAAGGCCTCTGGGGTTCACCCCTGCCGGCAAAGGCGGGGCAAGTGCATGGCAGTCATCACATGACTCAACAATGTCACGAGCCTCAGTTGGCGTCAGCTGAAACTGCTTCTGCAGGGTATGTGCGTTTTGGTGGAAAAACCCATGCGATGCCTTGGCCTGCGCGAGTGTATCAGGCTGAGGCGCTACCCATGCTGGGTTAGCCAGCTTGTCAGCCCTCGCGTTACCTTCCACTATAAAGCCCGGCAAATTGGTGTGACTCCTCACATGCAGAACATAGAATGGATGAACCCGGGCCTGAATGGCACACCACAAGGTCTTCAGTAAGTGAAACAAGGCAGGATTACTGACCTCCTTCAAGACCGAGTGACCCAACCGCTGTGCGATATCAGCCACATAGGCGGAATCCGTGACCAAGTTGAAAGGCTCCTGGGAGAATCTTTCAAATGCCATGACAGCAGCCCTCAGTTCAACCAACTGGGCTGACCCATCCTCGCGGCCTTCCAGAACCTGCCACTCAGATCCGTCCCTCCAGCTAAAAATGGCCTTCCCAGTCCTCCCTGAACCATCAGTGAAGACAGTGGGTCCTTTCACGGGTTCCTGGCTATTTTTGGGCCGCAAAGAGATTTTTGTGGATTTTTCCATATGCAGTAGCCTATGGCTGGGCAGATGATAAGTGATCTGCCCGGAGAAATTTTCCAGAGCACTCTGCAGGGACACACTGTTTGCAAAGCTCCAGTCAAAATCCTCCCGTTGCACCGGGAGTATGATCTTTGCGGGATCCGCACCCATCAATTGCAAACACCGTTGCCGGCATTTGATTATCAAGCGAGCGATCAATTCAAACAATGCAGTTGCCGTCTTCTGCAGCTGATGGGGCAGGAAAACCCATTCCAAAATGTGCAAGGAATCAGACCAATTGTCACTCCACTGGCCAATGATACCCGTGGGATACGAATCCGGAGTGGTGACGAACACAGTGACATCAACGGAGGGATCAATGCGATAAACTTGGCAAGCCGAAACAGCTCGCTGAACCACCTCCAACGCCTTATGCGCCTCAGGGGTCAGTGTGCGAGGTGATTTTAGATCAGCGTCTCCTTTCAACAAATCATACAGAGGAGACAGCTGCGCATCGGTTACTCCCAAATACGGACGCAACCAAGTGATGACACCCACCAATTTCTGAACATCATTCAGTGTCCTCACAGGATGCACAAATTGCACCTCCTGGTGACGGATCGTCCGTTCCAGAATTTTGACCCCCAAATACTTCCAAGGTGGTTGCTGTTGGACCTTCTCCGGAGCCACCTGCAGTCCCTGAGCATGCAAAGCATCAAGCAACCGAGGCTGAATCCTCAGCAGCTCATCCTCGGTGGACGCGGCCACCAAAATGTCGTCCATATAATGATACAGACGTGCATCAGGAAACTGCCTGCGAACTCCAGACAAGGCACGGGCCACATACCACTGGCATATGGCAGGAGAATTGCGCATGCCCTGAGGCAATGTCCTCCATTGATACCTCTGTGCAGGCTCAGCCTCGTTAATTGCTGGCACTGAGAAGGCAAACTTCGGTCTGTCATCGGGATGCAAAGGAATTGTAAAGAAACAATCCTTCAGATCCACAATGAGGACCGGCCAGTCTGCAGGAAGCATGCTAGGCGATGGCATGCCCGCCTGCAATGTTCCCATGCTTTCCATCACAGCATTAACCTTTCGGAGGTCTTGCAACAACCTCCATTTCCCAGACTTCTTTTTGATGCAGAAGACAGAGGTGTTCCAGGGGCTGGTGGAAGGCTCCAGATGACTCTGGTCCAACTGCTCCTGCACCAGATTCCGAAGGGCATTCAACTTCTCTTGAGGGAGGGGCCACTGCTTTTCCCATACAGGTTTGTCAACCAGCCACCGTATAGGAGGCGTCGGACACTCTGCGCCCTTCACTGCAGCGGCCCCCATCAAAAATCCGTCCCAATGCGCACCCCCCAAGCAGACAGAACATCCCTCCCCCAAAGGTTGGCAGGAGTAGAAGTAACATGAGGCCTAACCCAGGCCACCTGTCCCTCTGGGTTCGTGACCAACACAGGCCGTTGGCTCACATAACATTGCGCCGTCCCTCCCAGGCCAGCGACAGATGTCCCCACCGGATCCAAGGGCCACTCTGAGGGCCAGGTCACAAGGGAGAGAACCGTGACGTCAGCACCGCTGTCGAGAAGCCCACGGACGCGGACTTCTGGCGGCGTTGCACCAGGAACAGACAGGGTGCACAGCATCTCAGGACGGTCCTTGGTCAGGACAGCAGTCCAGTGAACTTGAGGCGGCCCAGTGGAGCCAAAACCGCCAGCTCCACGCGACTGATCAGCTGACCTGCAAACAGAGGACTTGAAAGGCACAAGTTGAGCAAGCCGCGTCCCTTTCGGGATCGTCACGGGGGGGGGTGGGTGTGGAGACCATGGCACAAATCTGCCCCGTGAAATCCGCATCGATGAGTCCCAGGTGCACAATGATGCCCTGAAGGGTGGCACTAGACCTCCCCATAAGGAGAGCACTCATGCCCCCACCCAAGGGACCAAAGGCATCCAGGGGAACCTTGCATATCTGAGAAGACTCTAACACAACTGTTGCTGCGGTGCAGACATCCACTCCTGCTGATCCACGGGTGCTGGCTGCAAGCTGGCAAAGGAGACCTCCATCGGCACCGGGGTCTGGAGAGAAGCTTGTGTCCGCACGCGTCCCCCCTGCGCGCTCCGCTTGCCGTTTCCCGAGCCTGGCAAAGCTTGGCCATTAGCATGAACAGTCGCCTTGCACACATCAGACATATGATTCGGCCTACCACACCGACCACACAAGAACATGGGGAACTTCACCTTCTGCGCTTTCTTCCCCTGCTTCTTGCCAGCCTGTGCAATCCCCCGCTGCGGCCGCTTGCCCTGCGGCGCTGCCCAAACCGGCTGCACAGCGGCAGCCACGGCAGCCAACTTCCGATCCAGGGGGACGATGTCCGCACAGGCCTCCGCCATCTCAGAGACAGTAGGATCACCAGGCAGAGCCACTATGACTTTCCTACAAGCAGCATTGCAATTGCACTTGACAAGGTTCGTAATCGTAACGCTCCTTGCCACAGGATCAGGCACCTGCCTCTCCACGGATGCAATCAGCCTTTCCGCAAACGTCATGAAAGGCTCGTCATCCCCCTGGACAATGGTCGGGAACGGCGGCCTCGGAGCAGCCATTTCCAGGGTCTGAACAATCGCAGCCATGCCCAGCGAGTGGCACTGTTCAAGCACAAGGGGATCAAATCCAACCTGCCCTTGAACATTCTCATAAAGCCCTGTTCCCAGCAGCATGTCAGCGACAACCCCACGCCTGGGGTCCTGCGGACCCAGCGTAGCATTCCACAACACCACGTGGGCCGCCAACCGAGCCCACTTGGTCTCAAAGACACCATACTGCACAGGGTCAAAAAGAGAACGTGCCACACGACGGAGATCGTAAGGCGTCAGCCTATCTGAATCAACCCTCCGGAGAGTCCGCATAACCTCAGCGGACCCCAAACCATGCTGAGCAACTGCCTCACGGAGCTCCTTCTCCAGCTTATATGAAAGGGGTTCATAGGTGTTATGAGCAACACCCCTGAGCACAGGGAAAACCTGAGGATCCCCTGGCAAAGCCACCGCACCTGATGCTCCCTGGTCCTCAGGCCCAACAGGGGCAAAAGACGAAAATCGCCTGGGAGCCAGGCCAACACCACTCGGCCCTGGGCCCCCCGCAGCACCAGCAGAGCCTAAGGAGCCTGCCCCGCGACCCTGCAGGTGCCGCGAGGAAACAGGCTCATTCATCTCGTCAGTCTTGGTTTTCGCCTCTCGCCAAAAACGTTCGGGATGCCTGGGACGCACGGTCACCTGACAGGCGGGAAGTGTCCACAAATTCGACGAGGAAGTGCCGTGGCCCCAGGCACCCACCGGCCTCCCGCCGGCCGCGTCAACAGGTGCGCTAAAGGTAAACACCCCAGCGCCCTGTCACGCCACAGCTCCAGCAGGGGGCGCCCCAGCGGACGCAGGTACCGGCACGGCCCGCAAATCCAGCGCGGGCCGGGACGAGACTGGCGCGGGGCCCCCTGCCCCCGACACAGGGGAGGGACGGGACGCCGAGAGAGATGCAGTCCGCGCAGCTGCGTCGCTGCGGGACGGCACCAGGGAGCCCGGCAAGCCCCCTATGAGGGTCCGTCCCAAACCACAAGACTGCCCAGCAGGTACCGCCCCCACCGAGCAGAGAGGGGTGGGCTGCCCGCCCATCGGAGCGGGGCCGGACAGAACGCCGACCGACGCCCCGCCCCCGGCTGCGTCCACCGACTGCGCACGCTCAGCAGGCTGCGCCAGCCCAGGGGCGGGTGACGCCCCGCCCCCGGGTGCTTCCACCGACTGTGCAAGCCCAGCAGGCTGCGCAGGCCCAGGGACGGGCGAAGTCGCCCCCCCCCCGCCGATGAGCCCGGCTCGGAGGTGGGCGACCCCGCCCCCGCCGTGGCCAGGGGGAACTTCGTGGAAACACCGCAATTCGGACACCAGGTCGTCACCGAACCAGACTCAAGCCGAGGCGGAGGCTGGCCCTCAAGAACCGGAAAGGCACAAAGAAAAGGCAACCTGTCCCTCACCCCACCACCCACGCCGGGCAAAGCAGGACGAGGACGGCCCGCTGAATCCACAGAGCCCGCAGAAACCCACGGGGCTCCGACCCCCAGCACACCGTCCGGAGGCGGGGAGGGGGACTCCACATCGGACAAAAACTCAAACTCCCCCTCCTCCACATCCGAGGCAGAAGAGCTTCCCCGGGAACTCCGAGGGGTACAAGAGCCAGACCCCTCCCAAAGCTCCACACATCTCTTCCACTGCACCAGCAGCGGTCCCGCATCTAGAGTGCAATCGTCAAAAAGGGCCTCCATGAGGCGGGTCCCCACACGAGACCACTCCTCCCTGGAGAACACCCTCTCAGGACCCGAAAGAAACCCTCACTCCCGGGCCCACAGAAACAATCTCTCTAAGTCATCCCAGGAAACAGAAATCTGTTTCCACTCCAGGACCCCCCTCCAAAGATCCAAAAGGAGGAGATCCTCCTCAAAACCCACAGCGCTCGCCATTACCCCAAGAACCGCAGGCAAAGCACCAAAGGGGGGGGGGGGGGGGGGGGGGGGGGGGAACCTCACCGCAATCTGCTGCAATACACACGTCGGGGTCACCAAATGTCGCTATAGGACACAAAAGAACACACGCTCACACCATTCTCAAGGTGAAAGAGAAAAAAAAGGCCATTTATTTTCTGACTCCAACATTTATAGTTTTCCAAAAGTGACAGTGGATTGGAGGGTGACAGTGGCACCTCTCCAATGCCACTGGTTAAACCAACAGTCCATCAACTCTCTCCTCCTCCATAAAGGAATGCAAAACAATGAGTTATTTACAGAAAGTGTGTGAGAAAATTCACTACAAGAATGTCAACATCAGAAGGCTTAGAAAATCTTAAAAACCCAGGGTGACAATCACCCTAGGAAATACCTGATCCATTATTTTCCTGTGAATCTCATCTTCACTTTCAACTTTAGCTTCATGGGCTATAAACATCAGGCTTAACAATTCCACGTATTGATGGTCCTTAACCTCCAAAGTAATCTCTCCATTTTTGAATATTATTTTTGCTTCTAATTGTTCCAATAAATCTCTACCCAAAAGTGCTGATGGAGCATTGGGCATATATAAAAACTTATGAATTCCCCATTGTTTCCCAAGTTTATATTTCAATGGCCTCCAAAAATAAGCTCTTTCAGATTGTCCAGTTGCCCTCTTCACCATGACATAATCATCTGTTATTGGTATTAAAGCTTTATTTAACACTGAATACGTTGCCCCTGTGTTTATCAGGAATTCCATTTCCTTTTCTTTGTTTCCTAGTTTCATTATAACCAGAGGGTCTCCTAGGGTAAGATCCTCTGGTCCACCTCAGTCTTTCTTAATATGGACAACCATTGCCCCTCCTTTTTGATCTCCTCTCCTTTGTTCATTGCCTTTTCTTCGTTCTGGGCACTGGTTCTTCCAGTGTACAACTTTCTTGCAGAATGCATATTGATCTCTCCTTAGCCGAGGTGGTCCCTGCCTTAGTGGCCCTTGTCCATATTTGCCTTTTTCTTCTTCCCTTACTACTGATGATAATTTTTTCATCTCTTCTTTGCACTTTTCTTCCCAGTAACTAAATACTCTCCATGCCTCTTCTAGCAAAGTCTCTAAATCCCACGCTGCTGGACACTGTATCTTCTGAAGTTTGTGTCTAATGTCCCCTGTAGATTGTCCTAAGAATAAACCCACTAGATGTTGTATCCCTTCCTCAGATTCAGGATCTAAAGTTGTATAACGAAGCATTGCATCCCTCAAATGTTCTAGAAATTCAGAAAGTATTTCGGAGGGACCTTGCTTAATTGTATATAGGGCTGACCAGTTTATTGTTTTAGGGATTGCCCTTTCTAACCCCCTTACTATGAAGTCTTGATAATCCTCTAGGCTTTCCATATCACTAACATCATTAGCATTCCAATGTGGATCCTGAAGAGTAAAGACATCTCTTATATCACTCTGTGTTATTCTACAAGCATCTTCTGTTAAACCCCCAGCTACTTTTAAAACCAGTTGTTTTTCTGTTTTCATTAGGGCATCCAACAACATCTGGAGATCTGACCAATCAGGTTGATGCTGTTTAATCATAAACTTTAATTTCTTTGCAACACCTATCAGGTCACTCTGATAACATTTAGCAATCTTTTCCCAAACCTCTAAATCTGTTGTAGAAAAAGGAATTTTAACTAACATTGTCTTCCCTTCAGGACTTACTGCCTCCCTCAAAGGTGCTTGTATAATTTTCTTAGTTTGTTTCAGAGTCCGGGATGCTATAGGATCCTCTGGAGGGGGCTCCTCTTGTTTGCTGTCAGTGCTGGGTAGTTAGAAAGATTTAAGGGTAGTCAAGGTGGGGGATAGAGTAGAAGCTGGGGTTGAACTTGAAATAGGAGCTGGAGTTGATTCAGCTGAGCTTAAAACCGGAGCTGGAGTTGAAATAGCAATAGCTTTGTTTAAAGCTGGAGCTGGGTTTGAAATAGTAGTGGCTTTAATTGGAGTGGGGGATGGAATATGAGCTGGAGTTTGGACAGAGGTGTTAGAGGGTGGAACAAGAGCTGGAGCTGGAACTGAGGGTGAAGTCTTAGGGGGTAGAACAAAAGCTGAAATCTGGACAGGGATGTCAGGGGGTGGAACAAAAGCTGAAGTCTGGACAGGGGTGTCAGGGGGTGGAACAAAGACTGGAGTTGGAGTTGAGGGTGAAGTCTCGGGAGGTGGAATAAGAGCTGGAGCTGGAGTTAAGATTGTTCCCAAATTTTCTTCCCCTCTCCGCCCCCTCTTGCCTTCTAGGGGGTGGTTCAAACAGATTGCCCAACTCTTGCTCCAGTGAGTCAGCTGGGTATACCTTGTGCTGGGTGTGTGCAGCCTTGGTTTATGGAGCATGTACTACAACATCATTTCAGCCTCCCCCTACTAGCCTCATTATCTTTTTCCAGGGCCAATACAAAGGGGTCAGAGGGAGCCCTGAGTCCACAATCCCTCTGCCACTCAGGGTGGTTCCGGAGAGAGAAAAACATGTCAGCATACGTCACCTCTTCCCATTTCTGTTCCCATCTAAAAAAATAACATAACCTGTAAAAAAGTCTCATAATGTAGAGGTCCAGTTGGGGGCCACCTGACCCCCTCTTCAAGCCTATAGAGTGGCCACCGTGTGGAAAATTTCACGAGGGTACTTTTTTTTTCTATCCCCCTCATACCCTACTAGTTCCTTCCAGTGTGCTAAAATACACCCTAAAGGACTACTTTTGGGGATCTCTTTACTCTGGTTGCTTCCCATCGCTCCCCTTCTCCTTAACAAAACCAGCACTCTACTCCAATCCTTATTACCTCCTCCTTTGCTTCTTGTCTCGCTTCCACCCAAACCTGGCTTCACAGATCTGTACAGTCCTTTCCCAGTCTTCTTCTCACACTGCCCACTGCTCAGGTACTAAATGTGACTTTCCGCACACCAGCTTTAAAATCCTTGATTCTAAATCAGCTCGATCAGGGAGCTGTTGACACTGGGCACACTCTCTATACCAGTTAGCAGAAGAACAGTAATAACATCCTGCACAAATCTTGCACTGCAGTAACACCCATGCACAATGCCAACCTCTAGATGCACCAAAAGCTGCAGGAAAATTCCCACAAATGCAAGTTATTCCATTTGCCCCTTCTCAATTCTCTAAATTCTCCACAGCTGGTTGCTCCCAATCCAAAGCCACTAGTCCCCCAGCAGACGTCTGATATAAACCTTTTAAATATACTCTCTCATTTCCCCTGTCTATCCACCAGTTTACTGAATTCACAAATAAAAATGTGGGTGTTGAATAGTGGGTTCTGCTGCCTATTATCTGTTCCCAACAAACCCCTCCTGTAGAAAAGCAGGTTGCATTAACATTCAGGCAACACTGTCAGACCCCCACACAACACTCACTGCAGCTGGCTCAGCGAGAGAGGCAAGAAAGGCTCTCTTTGCAAGGTTTTATTCCAGGGAAGTATAAAGCTGAAGGGGACCCGGCAAGAAAGAGGACAACCACGTGGCACAGGCAGCTTAGAAGGGAAAGGGGTGGAGGGCGGAGCTAAGGGCACGGCAAAGGGGATTGGTCTCTAGGGGAGAGGGGGTGGCCACCAGTGATACCAAGCCAGTGAGGGGACAGGGAAAGGGGAAACCAGGAAAAGTCCATGTGGGAGTCTGTTTCTTTCCCCCAGGAAGACTAACTCTATGGTAGTTAGTCACTGCCGTTGCCAGGGCAGAGGACTTGGGAATTGACTGAGAGCAGAGAGTTCATGGGATGCTACACACAAACTCCCACGAGTCGAGCCAAGACCACTGAAGCAAAGGAGTTCCTCCTATCCGTCTGGTCAGATTAGATTCTCAGACCAAAACTACCCCTTTTATGATTCTAACAATCAGCATCTACAAACAGAATCCCCGTACCTAAAACCACAAGTTAACTCTCATCAAAGGCTTCAAACAAACCAGTTTTACTACTTTACACTCAACGTGTGCTACACTTACAACTTTTGACACAAGATGGCAGTGTTGCCTCAAAAATACACCACAGCTCCAAACAATTACAACAACACAATCTTATTATTCCCGGGGGAAGCACTTCATGCAGTCTAACAATATACAAACATACTACACTAAAGCACTCAACTTCTATATTTCAAATTCCAAAAACATAAACACCTGAACAGCAAAGCTCCACCTCTATAATTTCTCAAAGTCCAAACCCTTTTAATGTGAACACTGGATGTTACAGTAAATTCTGTCCCCTGTAACCAAAACACACACACAGACAGTCACAGTGGGGAGGGGATTTTATTAAGGATCATGCACCCCACTCGCTTTGTTTTTCCCCAGCCGTTTCAGTCACCAGAAAATGGAACCATGGGTCCAAACTCCCACTTGCGTCGTGCTAACAGCATGTCTCCACAAACACTCTCACAATTGTTCTCACAGTCAGGATGATGCACGGACAGATTACTCTTCAACTAATTAAAGTTGAAAAGAAGGGTATTTATTGCAACGCACTGGACACGTGGAATCATTTCCAAATATATGTGCAAGGAGTTACAGACTACTGCTCTCTATTTATACAGAAAGGGTTTTACATATTCCCACAGTTTCTAGGGACGCATAATACATAATCATTACTGTAGCAGGCACAGGGCCTTCAATGCCTCCATGGCGTTCAGCAGCCTAAGATGACTGGACCTAAGAAGCCCCTCTTCTGCCTTTGGACCCTTGCTTATCTCTCTGTAAGACTATAGGTCACATTCACCTTGACCCTTACTATTTGA